ATCCCCAAAGTGCCTACCTTTTGCAGTTGTGAGGACCAAATGTGGCAATGTATGTAAAGTCTCTACCAGTGTTTGGCTCTGTAAGATTGTTATTCTTCATGAGTTAGAACCAACCAGGTGGCTTCACTCAAAAAATAGTCTTTTCCTCCCCACAGAGGCAAGGTTTTCTGTGCCACAGCTGCGTCCACGGGACTGGATGTGTGATGGTCAAAGCTTTATCCCTCAATGTTCTGAGTATTCACAAGAACACCCTCTGCTATCTACACTTCTCTGATAACCAGAACTATGCCCCCCAAAGAGCCCGGGCACCTACTCTGAGTGACACTGGTCAGCTGGCCCAGTAGCCAGCGAAAGGCTTCCAGATCCCAGAGGAAAGACCCCCACTGTGACTGCACACTAGGGACCACTCTGCTCTGACACTGACAATAGCTCCAAGTGTTCAGAGAATGGAAACCTCATTCCTGAGTGGCTTTGAACAGTCACTCTGAGTTCCTACCCCTTTCCCTCCTGTTTTAGTTTGTTTGTTTTGAGACAGCGTCTCACTCTATTGCCTCAGGCAAGTGTGTGGCACACCATAGCTCACAGCAACCTCAAACTCCAGGGCTCAAGTGATCCTCTTATCTCAGCCTCCCCAGTAGCTGGGACTACAGGTATCCACCATGATGCCTACCTAGTTTTTCTATCTTTAGTAGAGATGGGGTCTCACTCTTGCTCAGGCTGGTCTCAAACTCCTGAGCTCAAATGATCCCCCTGCCTTAGCCTCCAAGAGAGCTGGGATTATAGGCATGAGCCACGCACTAACCTCATCTCATGTTTTTAAAGCTTTAGTGCACAATGGCTGACTTCCGGCTGCCAGCAGGGGTACCTCTGTGCCTAGGGCTTTCTGGACACCATAGAAATCTCTCTGCCTTTGCACATGACACCCCAGGAGTGACTGAATGTCAACATACCTGGGAAGTCATTTGCAAAAGTTGTCTGATGGGGGTAAACACCCAACCTCCATCCTGCTTGAGCAGGACAGTTCTGAATGTTTGTGTGTCCAACCCCCTCTACCAAAGTCGCTCCACAGTGGGAAACTCCGGCCTCCCAGCGATGATGAAGAACCTTCCTCACTACTTTCCCTTCCTTGTTGAACTCCCTGCACCTTACCAGTCTGTCACTTCTCAAATCCTTGATCCTTTCTATGGAGGAACAATTTTCAGACAAGTTTCTATCGGAAATTTTCAAACTCAATGCTAACAGAGGCCAGACAGGAAATAAAATTTAACAAATAGGGAAAGAATCCAAACTTCCATCCTTTCAATCTTTGTGCCTTTTACAATCCTGGTCACTGGTAGAAACAAAAAAGTCCAAAGCTCAGTGAGATTCTTGACCATTAAAGATAAATTTAGTTATGGTGAGGAGACACAGCGAGGATATATATTTTTTTCTTTTTTCTTTTTTCTTTTTTTAAGGCAAGGAAATGAACTAAGAGATATGGCACAAACTTACCAAAATCTTTTAGACAAAATATCCCCTGGAAAGTTTATATACATTGCTATTAACTAGAAACTTCCTTTATCTGAAATGATTTTCCATACATTCTGAGTATTAAAAACTTAACTGTCTATGGTAAGATTGGCATTCCCTGGTGAAAACACAAATTAGGATAAAGGGCTCTGGAAAAGAATATGTAGCAACCCCAACAGCATCACATATAATCTGTTTTATTGCCAGGTAAGAAATTTGTATTAATATAGTGAACACATGTTTACAAATAAACATTCTTAGAAAACAAACAATTTTTTTCTTCATTGTAGGAAGTATTATTGGCATCATAAACTCTGTAGTTGGTGACAAGTATTAACACAGGTTTAATGGCAGAATGTACGGCTACTAAAATATTTCCACATAAAATATGCTTCATTTACACACAAAAAAACTGGGGGCCGTTAGATGGGGAGGCCAGGCAGAGCCCAGGGCGGGTGGAGGCTGAGAGGCTCTGGGGGCAAAGGGAGTCAGACTCTGGTCCCATTGGGCTGGAAGTCAGGGGACAGATAAAGGCGGACAGTTGAGGCAAGTGCCAGGACAGTCTCTCTGCTTCATTCTGGTTTTTCTCTTCCAGGTTTCCCACCCTAGCTACGGGATCCTTTCCTTGGTACATGGTAGTCAGAGAGAGTTCCATAGGTTGTCTCTGCTTTCTGTAACAGGTCTGTCCACCCTCACAAGAGGAAACCCTCCCTGTGTAAACCCCCTCCTCAGTTCGTCCTCCCACAGCCAACTGGCAGAAAACCAGCTGAGAAGCACCTCTGGGGCTGTCCTTGCAGAGTGCTGCTTGTGAGGCACTTCTCCTCCGTGGGCCACCATCACTGCCACATCTCGTTGATCAGGCTGGCACCTTTGCTGCCAAAATTACAGCTGCAGACTGCAAGCAGCCAAGGTCAGTTGATGAAGTTTACTCGGAAGAGAAGGGGTGTGAAGAAATAAAATCCCGCAGATTCAGAGACCAAGAAAGGCCTTTAATCAGAGGTGAGGCAAGGGTGAGACTCAGTGGGTCGAGGGCAAGAAAGCAAGATGAGGTAAAAGGGAGATGAGAATTACAGAGCCTTGGAGCTGGAGGGAACCTCCAGGAGAAGACCACCCAGTATTCCCCGGAGTGGGGGCTGTATACACTAGTGTATGCAAAGGATGGATCGTAGGCAGTTCCCGGACACAGCACTATTCAACACTGACTCACACAGAAAGTCATCCCCCTCTCATTTGCCATTTAGTCTTATTACTTCAGGGAGAAAGTCTCCACTGGGTGCCGGTACCTTTAACAATTATCATCTGCTAATCTCTTTTTAAGACAGAGAAAAAGGGGGGATGGGGAAGGTGGAAAGAGAGAGAGGGGGGGGGGAGGGGAGGGAATGAGGATGGGAAGGGAGGGAGGGACCGGTAGGGGGAATCCTGCAGGTACCAGGCTCTAGGTCTGAGCTCTTCCACAGGCAACAACAGTGTCTGCCTAGAATTTACTCATTCCCACTTTGTTGCCTTTGTACTTATCTTTATGCTTATTTTCTATTTATGGTGTTTAATAATGGTTTTCTATTTGTGATAAAAACTGGAAGTTTTCATTTTAAAAATAAAATGTATCAAAAATGAATCAGTTTAGATACAGATACTGTGACAGAGATACCAAAGTGTGTGGGAGGTATGTGACCAACTAAGGTCAAGGAAATACCCATGGAGCCAGTGGTATTTACTCCACTCTGGGTGGAGTGGGTGGGGGGGGGCTCTGGGGTCTCAGCAAGGAGGCCAAGAAGGTGGGTGCTAAATCTCTGAACCTGCTTTGCCCAGCACCATACCTCTTCATGCATGGGGATCTTATACAGGGCTTCGTTGAAAGGTTTCATTTTTTTAAAAATAGGCAAAGGTTTTGCTGTTTCAAAAAGCTTGAAAAGCTTGACCTAGCCCAAATTCCCCATATTTTGGTTGGGAGGCTAAGGCTTACAGAGAGAAAATGCACCATCAGGGTCCTCGTATCTGCTGGGAATAAGGAGAATAACCAGCTGGCTTTGCTGATACTGTGCTATCAGGGTAGAGAGATAGGTGAGGCAGAGCCCTGCAGTGCAGTTCCAGAAAGTGCACTGAGTCTTGTTTGCCCAGACTATGTAAAGCTTTTGATGTCAGAGGACCTCAGGGTCTCCTGTTAAATAACTAGCTAAGACCCTTAGGGGCTAGTTGAAAACCTCTCACCTTAAATGAAAATTTGTTCCCCCTCAAACCCACCTCTTTGGGCTTCCATAAAACAAATAGAACTAGCAGGAAAAAATATCTTTGTTGGGACCCCAAGAACCAGTCTGAAGAAGTATCTCAGGAAATTCTGGATGGGGCATAAACACACTGAAGTTTCGGGGGAGGCAATCTGGAGGGACGGGGGAATGATGGGACCCAGAAATGTCTGACAGGTTTGGGGGGCTGGAAATGGAAAGACTGGTTTTGACCACACGGGGAGTTGGAAGGCCTTCACCTTTAGGTACCCCGACATTGCAGCAGCCCCCTCAAGAGGGTGTTGTGGGGTGGGCTCACCTACAAGTAAGGATAGAAACGTCTTCTACTACTGCAGAAAAACAGGAGGGAAGAGGCTAAAAGAACACAGGTTGCACTTGGGAAACAAGACTGTCATTAAACAACAGTGACACATTGAAGGCACCACCCACGCTTATGACATTTTCAGTCCGAAGCAGTTGAAGTTTGGCAGCGGCGGCGACGCACTGAAGGGAAAGGGGTGTCGGGGACCGACAGTTAATAGAGGACTTTTTCTGTGGCTGTTTCAGCTCTTGGAGGTGAAGTCCAGAAACTGGAGACTCCTGGGCCCCCATTTCACCTCCTGTGAACCTTTCCACCGGTGGAATTTTGTTGTTGATGTCATGTTGATTTCCTAAGTCTTAAAGATTTTGGACAAAACTTAATTTGCCTTCCTTGTCTGTTTTGTTGTGGGCTTATATATTTTATTTAGCTTTTTAAAAAAGTTATTTAATATTCTCTGGACCCTGTCCCTGCCATAACAACCTGTCTTCCCACTCCCGAGGTCACGGTCTCTGTGGGAGTTCTCCCAAACGTTTTCTTTTCCCATCATTGTCGGTGGGTTCAGGATCTGTTTTCTTGTGAGTTTGAGTGTGTGTTGTTTTTTGCTTTAAACATTGAGCATATGAAAAGTACTATAAATATAATGGTTAGGGTCCAGTTACTGTCTCACACTCATCAAAATTTTGCATCCATCTCACTCCTTGGGAGTAGGAAAATGCTCAAAATGTGTGCAAATTCCTCCCAACAACCCTTCTCAAAGCACTCTTCTCTCGTGTCACCCTGATTCTCTCCACCCTTTCACCCTGGCTCTTTTTACTCAGAAACAGATAGCACATGGCAAGTGGTGTATGTGCTCAAATGGACAATTTCTCTAAATTGTGCTACTTTTATTTTTTTTCTCATCATGGATTTCAGTTTCAAGTTAGGAAGAAAAGAAGCATTAGCCCTGTGGTTTGGGCTTGCGAGTTGGCCACCTTGGGCCTGAAGTTGAAAGAGTGTGCCTCAGTTTCCCCTTTGCTGCACTGCTGAAAGTCCATGCTCTGGTCTTCCTCAGCTGCCCATGAACACGTGTTAGATATGACCTAGGAAAGCACGATTCCACGTCACCAGTAGCCTTAGAGTTGGTTCTTATGGAGGGTCGTGTGTGGTGTGTGGACGGGAGGATGGGGAGGGGCGGCCAGGGTTGTTCTGCCTCTCTCAGCTGAGTGTGGTCTGCAGGCGCTCCCTGTAGTGAAAGCTCAGACAGTCACTTCTGTTTTGCTGTTGGTGATGAAGTATGGCTGTGGGGGTGGGTAGTGCTGCGTGCGAGTCCCCAAGGGGTCGCTGGAGGCCGACTCTGCTGTGCCAAACTTGCCCTTGCTACCATAAGCCTGCCGCCTCAGAGACTGCTCGTTGGGGTCCCAGCCCTTCAAGTTGGTGGTGGAGTTGTAGGCCAGGGGGTGCGGGGGCATCTTGTTGGTGCGGGCCTTCTGTCCATTCTGCTTAGCAGGACCGTGCTCGGGGCTGAAGGCTCGCGGCTCGTCCTCCACTCTGACGGGGTGCAGAGGTAGGTTCCCCTTAGCAGCCAGTTCAGCCAGGTGTCGCCGCTTGGAGTAGAAGTCATCATTGACCTTGTCAGCTGAGCAGGTGGACAAAGCAGGGCAGGAGAGAGGAGAGAGAGGGAGAGAGGGGAGAGGGAGAGAGAGAGAGAGAGAGAGAG